TATATATATATATATATAACTCGTTAGAATCAACTTAATTTCCAAAAGTTTTGATAGTTTAAATGAAATCTTAAATTTTTTAATTATATTATTAAAGTAAAATATACATAAACTAAATTAATAGTTAACTTTTTCATTATTAAACTTGGTTAATTGACCCTCTTTAATAAGTCTTCTCTTCTAAAGATGTATTTTTTTTTTATCTTTAATAACTGAAATTAGAAACTTTGCATAAAAATTTTGATTTCAGCTTTACTCATACCAATGATATGTTTGTTCATAAAATTTTATGTTTAAATCTCATTATCATCATTATAAGAATATAATTTTTTTATAAATATAATAAAGAGGACAATATAAATTATTCAAAATCTTAATTCTACATGATGCTCAAGGAGGAAAAAAAATATTAATTTGCACGACGGGGAAAAGAAAAGGCTTTGGCAATTTTATATGTTATTAATTTGCAAAAAAGTATAATATTGTATATGTAAACTTTTTATTTTTTCACAAAAGTATAATATTGTATATGTGACTAACGTTTTCATTTATTTTATATTACACATATCCTTTATTGAAACCAATCTATTTAAATAAAATAAAATTATTATAAACAATAAAATTAATACAAAATCGTAAATGTATATCCATAATTCGAATTTGAGATCACCAATTAAATTTAACAATCCACACTATTTGATTCATACAAGTACAATCAGTGATAATTTTTTTAGACCATGAAAATAGTCTATGTAGTGTATTAAATGTTATTTTAATATTAAATGTTGTTTATGATGATCAAACATTATTTTATTATTATTTTTTATTTGAGATTACTTTGTATCTTTCTCACAAATTAATCATACTCACATTAGGTAAAATTATTATTAAGTTAGATCCATCCCACCATTGGTCCACATGCTTAGTGATTAAAATGTTCATATATAGGAAAAATATTGTTTAGACAGATTTTCAAATACAAATTATAATGCAATTAATAAGTTTAAAATAATTCTCTTCAACTTATGGTTATTTTAAAAGAAATTATATGTATCATTCACATAAGATGAACTGGTTCAAACTTGATAGAAGTACCATAAACAATAAAATTTGTTTAAATATTTAACATAATTATATATCTAAAATTAATTTAAATTTATGTTTCATCCATACCATGCATACAAAATTAACGATTTTTTTTTTTCGCTAGAAGAGAAACAACAAAAAGGATCAATCAATAACTCGAAGACCAAACTCGTGATTGTCGGTAAAAGTCCGGCTGGGCGAGTATAAATAACTCGAAGACCAAACTCGTGATTGTCGGCAAAAGTCCGGCTGGGCGAGTATAAATAACTCGAAGACCAAACTCGTGATTGTCGGCAAAAGTCCGGCTGGGCGAGTATAAATAACTCGAAGACAAACTCGTGATTGATCGGTAAAAATCCGACTGGGCGAGTATAAATAACTCGAGGACCAAACTCGTGATTGATCGGTAAAAATCCGACTGGGCGAGTATAAATAACTCAAAGACAAACTCGTGATTGTCGGCAAAAGTCCGGCTGGGCGAGTATAAATAACTCGAAGACCAAACTCGTGATTGTCGGCAAAAGTCCGGTTGGGCGAGTATAAATAACTCGAAGACCAAACTCGTGATTGATCGGTAAAAATCCGACTGGGCGAGTCTAAATAACTCGAAGACAAAATATTAAACGACCCTACTACACAAAATGTATTCCGATCTAGTTCTAGCAACGAACTTCAACTTTTAGATAAATCCCTAGTCGGTATTTGGACGACTAGATGATTTGATATTCATTTTTAACTTAGAAAAATTGTGGCATTTTCCTAGTCGGTATTTGGACGACTAGATGATTTGATATTCATTTTAACTTGGAAAAAATCTTGGCATGTTTCCCTAGTCGGTATTTGGACGACTAGATGATTTGATATTCAGGCTAACTTAGAAAAAATTTTGGCATGTTTCCCTAGTCGGTATTTGGACGACTAGATGATTTGATATTCATATTAACTTAGAAAATTTTTTGGCATGTTTCCCTAGTCGGTATTTGGACGACTAAATGATTTGATATTCATGTTAACTTATCAAAATTTTGGCATGTTTTCCTAGTCGGTATTTGGACGACTAGATACATTGAAATTCAATTTTTAACTTAGAGAAAATTTGGCATGTTTCCCTAGTCGGTATTTGGACGACTAGATGATTTGATATTCATTTTAACTTAGAAAATTCGTGGCATTTTACTAGTCGGTATTTGGACGACTAGATGCTTTGAAATTCAATTTTTAACTTAGAAAAAATTGTGGCATTTCTGGTCGGTATTTGGCCGACTAGTGACTTTGAGATTCAATTTTTAGACATAAAAATTCCCCGTTCGTTAGGGTCGGAATTAGGACGACACGTTTTGCAACACTACAATTTATATATATAACTTGTAAGAACGAGTATATAAGAACAGCCAACCATGAAGTTATGTGAAAGAAAAAGATACCTCTTTTAGGGCTCCGGAAAACCACGGTCCCACGTGACGACTTGATTCTCGGCGTTCTCCCGACACCTATTCCCGGCCCATGGCCGTGGAGGCTGCACCGTCTAGATCAAAATCCGACTTGATCTTCTGCTCGGACAATACCCGACCAGGTTACCCGGCTACAAGCCTTCTCGCCTTACAGGCTCAAGGCTGGAAGGCAAGTGTACCGTCCAGATCAAAATCCGACTTGATCTTCTGCTCGGACAATACCCGACCAGGCTGCCCGGTTACAAGCCTTCTCGCCTTACAGGCTCAAGGCTGGAAGGCAAGTGTACTGTCCAGGTTAAAATCCGATTAAGGTTTTCTTCTCGGGTATTTCCCGACTATCATATCAGGCCACAAGCCCTTTCGCCTTCTCGGCTCAGGGCTGGAAGGCAAGTGTGCCGTCCAGGTCGAAATCCGACCTGCACCTCTATTCGGCAATAGGATGACCAGGCCTACTCGGCATTAACCCGACCGAGGGCTCAGCACAGACCTAGTCGGTCATGACTCGACTCGACCTGAGGAACTCGATTCCTCTCGCCTCTAAGGACTAAGGAGACTACCCGGCATTAACCCGACTGGGTCCTCTGCGCGGACCTAGTCGGTCAGAACCCGACTAGACTTATCCCCTTTAACCTCGCGCCATCAAGATCAGAGCGGTTAGGGAAATCCCTTTATTCGCTGTGCCCAAGAGGCCCATGAACTACGTACCATAAAACCCAAAACCCTAGATTTGAGAAGGCAGATTACACTTTTGAATGCTCTGGCTCTGAGGCACGATCTAGGAAAAAACCCTAGTCCACCCTTTGGCTGGAACACCTTCAAAACCCAGCTTTAAAGTCCATAAAAGAAGAAGTGAATGACTTCAAAAGAGGTCGATCCACATGCCTTATCAAAGACAACCACTTCACTGTCTTGCTCGAAGGACGTGTGCAGAAAAAGTGTAAAAACAAACCAACTCTTGGCCCTATATAGTGATATCTACATAAGACTCGAAAGACAGGTATCGCCGCCCACCCATTTGGGTGTAGTTGAGTAGGAGCCACGTTCAAAATGCGAAACACCCCCATCTAGAAGTCATCAAATGGAAGAGACATGTCGAGATCTTTAAACAAACACTCGTACATGTAAAAGAAGTCACCCTAGTCTTCTCGCTTTGCAAGAAAAACCTGATCACCAACACCCTCGGCTCGGCAACGACGTAGCATTATGGGATAAGGATCAAGATTTTCCCATCTTGCCAATTGGCACCTTTTTAACAGACGCTCCATGACGACCTTCTCATAAAAACGTGAGAAATAGGTTGCCACTTCCCCGTCCACCCACTCATACCCCAGAACCTCATAGGGGGGAACTTTTGTCGATAATCACGCGGATCCATCACAACATCGCGAAGCTCTGATCTAGAAGACTCGTATGAGCTCTCGGTAGCATTACTACCAAATAATCGTCGGGAAGAACTAGCAGACACCTCGTCCTCGCTAAAATGGGCTGAATACCCT